AAGGCTCTCACACTAACTCCAAACAAAGGCAAGGGACCAAGGACACATAGTACTCTATTCTGACGCTAACATGTACATCGTTAGATTCTCACCCTCCTGCTCTGACAAGCTTCGTAACTTGGCTACCAGCCCATACCATGGCCATTACTTTGAGAAACCTGCTGATGAACCGGAACAACTTAAATTTCTCCAAAGAAGCCAAACATAGATCTATCTACTGGAAAGGAAAAGAACTCATTAAGTTACAGTTACCGTTCAACTGCAGCAAGGTAACCCATTCTTCCAGGTGATGGAGCAACATAAAACCTAGAAACAAACAAAAGTTGATGAGATTGAAATGGACAAACCATATGATACAGTGTAACAGAGCATCTTTATCATGTCTGAATAGTCAGACAGATAGATGTGATTCTGGTCTTTCAAACAAATTTTATTATTATGAGAGACTAGCTGTGGATAGGAGTAAAACATTGTATGTTTTCTCCCCCTCGCCACCGCTTGGTAATATTACTCTTATACCTACCCCTGAAACTTCGTTGAAGTAATGCCTCTGGACAGAAATCGATTTTCACATTGGATAGCAGCAGGCATTGCACATTTGATATGTAAACTATGGCAGCTCGAAGAGAGGAGGCACAGTTTTTATTGATACCCTGAAATTTAATCACTGAAGTCTTGTCTGTCACCATTTTCAAATGTTTACCTTAGGCCTTGCATGCAAAGGCAACCAACCAAACTTTTTTTGGTGTGTTTGTGTGTGTGTGTATGTCTTTGAATGCATGTATGTATAAACAAATCAATGATCTAGTTTCTCATGCATAAATTTGCATAGGAATCCAAAGGATCAATTAACTGAGATTTTTTAAAAATCAGAGATTTCTCTTAGAAATGAAATGAACTTCTTTGTATATTATCTTTCCACGAATGAGTTGACGGAAAATGAACATACGCTTCCTTTGAAAGTACAATGAGATCTTTTCATGAGAGGAAGAAAATCTGAAACTTCTCTAGTAAAGATTAAATATTCCTCATGCGCAATCTTTATTGACAGAACTACTTTTCCTCTCCAGCCATGTCCACAAGAACTCACTAGAAAATCGATAGAACAAAAATGTTCATGTTTTTTGCACAACAAAATCTTTTTTATTCTATTTTAATGTTGTTTACCTATGAAATTGAAAGATGGATTTCTCCACAGGGTACAATTGAGGTGTGTAAGAATCTCCAAAGTCAGGCTTATAAGTTATCTAAGGACCGAATAGCTGATGGAAATAGAGTATCGCTGGTCAACTATGCTATTAAATATCGGAATTAGAAGTACAAATAATTACTGGTCCTGTTGTTCACATCACATGACATACCACACGATAAGAAAGGTAGTAAGATAGTATGCAGTATTCAGTAGTCCATATGATAATACTCCTGCAACGCCATATCTTCTCAATCTTGTCAGAATACTGAAATGCAGCAAGGGAAAAGAATTAGATCTCAAAATTAGGTGTTCCATAAAACTGGATATTGCAACTTTCACCTCAGCATAAGAAAGATGTGAAGGGAAACCTAATTCATCCTTTCATTCCACGAGAAAAATTAAACATATACCAAGACCATATTAGAATTTTCTGTCAATAAAGAGAAAGAGAAGAGGCAAAAGATGTTAAGAAAACTTGAAAATGCGGCCCCTATCATCAATTTAAAAACACATGAACCAATAGGTAATAAAAGATATTACTACAGTCCAGAAATAGATCATGAAAGACGTTACCAGGAGAAATAGCACTTCTGGCATAGTTTGATACAACATATAGCATAAGTCAAAGGTTTTATGGTTTTTTTTGGTGGTGTCATTTTTTAGAAGAGATGTATGTTTGGTATCATGTCTTTCAAAAGTGGAGATTTAGGAGAATTCCAATAACATTGTTCCACCAGAATTATATAGTCACGACTTATGGTATCCTCCGATTGAACCTATGTTTGTATGACATTCCACTTTATAAAACATTTGTTCAATATGTGAAAGAGGTAATTGTTAATGAGCCATAGCAAACAATATTTCTGCTAACTAACGGAGGAGAAAATACCAAATGGCACAATATTCTTACACATATTGAACTCTCAATAGTCAAAATAAAGAAGAGTCGAACATGGAAAGCTGTATAGATAGCAATATCAAGCATGTCTCAACTTTTCCACGCATTGTTGGTCAAAGCAGTGCAAGAAGTGGCACTTACTTGTTTGATGTGAGTGATTCTGTTTGACTAATTTCATGGTTTCCTGCAGTACCTAACAAGACATAAAAGCATACCCAATTATAAGGTTCGGCTGGTATGGAAAACAATATTCATTAACTGTTACAAGGTCATCAAATACATACTTTACTTTTTAGGGAAATACCTTTCTGATCTAGAGGACTATTTTGAAATTCTGGTGACTCGTAAACCTTGACTTGCACAACAGTAGAGAGGTTAGCTACGAGATAAATCACCACATCATGAAACATAGAAGTAGTACCAAGCTTAGGGACTTCATAAGGATAAGATTGGGGAAACATTAAAGAAAGACGAACGAAGACATATTTGATATTCCAAACAGGGGTACTGTGTAAGTTTGACACATAAAATGCATGACATGATCATCCGCAATACCATGTATTATTAGTCCTAAAGTGCATGCATTCCTTAATATGACAACCAATAACAACTACGCCAAAATCCAAAACTAGTTAAGTCTGCTACATGAATCCCCTATATCCATTCCACTTCCTTTTTGGCTCGGTTCCGTCAACTCAATAATTGTTTTTTTAGGAAACATACCAGTTTTCAATGAATCCAGCAAGACCGATCGAACCAAATAGTGGAGTTCTAGCTACAACGTAGATTGGTGCTTAAAGGACTGAAAGACCTATGCAACTCATGGAATAAAGCTGGGAAGGGGGCTTGAAGAGTCAAGCTTGTCCGGGATCGAAAAATGAAGCAAGCAAGAGGGATCAAAGCTATTGGAAATGCAAATGCACCCCATCTCTAATGCAATTGCATCAGGTATTTCCTAAGGTAACATGAAGCTAGTGAGTTCATTTGCGCCTACGCCAACTTTATTATGTGCAGTCACATGACTGAGCCATAATGATCCAGTGGCTTCCGGAACCAAATGTATGAAGAGTGAATGCAACTCCCTTAGATGCGTTAGCATCTCTTCTCCAAAGCTGAAACATGGACAAGGTTGTATTTTGAGCCTAGTCTTAGACACTCAATGCTTTGTATTAGTTCTCAATGGGCCTAACACCTAAACACTACAGTATAGAGTCAGATTTCATTTTGAATAGTCAACTTTTGATGAATTGAGGAGTTTCCAAGTTTATCTTAAAAATCCTCTTGTGACATTGTCCTCTATCTCTCCCTGTTGAATCGTAACTTGGATTAATTGAGATGACTAAGTATGAGTTCCATTATTTAGGTTCCTATCTAAGATTGTGTTTGAGATTAAGTTTAAGAGTTGGATTACCTCAGTCTAACGCTCATGGTTGTTAACAACAACAATAACAAGAATCCCAGTGTAATCCCACAAGTGGGGTCTGGGGAGGGTAGTGTGTACGCAGACCTTACCCCTACCTTTAAGAAGGCAGAGAGGCTGTTTCCGATAGACCTTCAGCTCAGGAAAGATAAAAAGGAAGGAGCAACAACACCAACAGACCAATCAGAAAACCGAAGCGAAAGAAACAACAAGTAATAACAGAAATCTAAGAAAAAGAAAATACAAGACTAACACTAAGTAATGCACTAAAACTACTGATGAGAGCAAGGACAATGCTCGCCCACCTAACAGGTGTTGATTATTTGTATTATCAGGGCAAGGCTGCCAACAATGCTTGGATTTGTGCAAAATTTCATCCTTTAGTTAATATCCGTTTTATCCTTAGGTTCTACATCTGTGCTCATTCAGTAATTCTCCAAATTAGTGAAACCAAATAATTGTAAATAATTTACTCTCAAGTGTAGGCACTCTAGTCCAAGGAATTCGAGAAACGCTAATCAAATCAATCAATCAAGAATAGACTCCTCAACTTCAATAGTACGATGTGTGATCAATCAATCAACTACGCCTTAAACCCAAATCAGTCAGGGTTGGTTATATAAATCCTCTATATCCATTCCAGTCTATTCAGGTAATAGCATTAAGTATAAACAAGTCACCTAAAAACCAGAAACATTGCTGTAAATTGAGTCACATTAGAACTCATCTCTACCGAGAGATTACTACTTCCCCTTCACTAATACATTACCTCATTAGTTGGGCACAACAATGTAGTAGAAAATAGATCAGCTGTATCTCTCTGCTCTGAAAAAGACCAGCTAACAATTGAACTAACAACTACATGAAAATGATTGTATAAAAGAAAAAGAATTACCAATTGAATTTCTTTCAAAATGTACAAATTTAGTACAATATAGTGATACTTAGCACCCACGGATTTAAATCCTAAATCGACAGAAGGCAATGCACAGCAATATTTTAAGATACAAGATGAAGTCAGCGAATAAATTAACAAAAAACAAAAGGAAAAGAGAAGAGGCAGTTACACTATTATCTGCATTAATAGAACAGCGACGTAGCAGATGCCTCGAAGTTAACTGCTTTTGCGGTAGGTACAAGTGACGAGTACACAGCACGCTGGAATTGTTAACCTTCAAATTTATATGAAATTAAACAAAACAATCTGTCATATATCAACTAGTACGTCTTAATCTAAAATTCTTAAATTCAAATTATTTTTTTATTCAGGTAGAGGAACCACCATACTTAGCCAAACTCACATAGGTAGAATTAAGGGAAAAAAAATTGGTTAATTTTTGTATGAAGAATTGAGAGCAGAAAGGGCTTACGTGGCGATGGAGAAGGAGAGGTAATGAAGATGAAGAGAGTGTAATGGTAAGAGAGGAAGAAGACATGAATGGGAATTTAGAAAACAAAGGGAGCAAATTATAAACCGCTATTCTGTTAAAATGCCAAAGAGGATTGAAAAGAAGATGGAGACTTCTCGTTTCAAGATGGTTAAAGAGGGAAAATAATGGGGATGTTTACCCCAAACCAACTCTTAATAAAAGTCGCTCAAATCTTTTGGTGTAAACAGCAAAAACGGGGAACTTGTTAAAGGAATACCGGTAGAAGTCTTTTATTAATTTTCCTTTTCTTTTCGGTTACTTTTAATTTGAAAAATAAATGTTCATAACAAAGGGAGAACGGAATTAGAAACTGTGGGAATAGAACTAACATGATTATGTGAAAAATTCCTATGAATACCATCGGACGATAATCTTTGATAGTTCATAAAATTCCTTTCGAATCACAATAATCATGCTTAACCTATTTAATTCTTTTTCTTATTAACTAGTGCAGTTGGTCGCGCTTCGCGCGATTAGAGTACTTCATTAAATTTGAATAATTATCATTTTATAAATATTTGAATATTAAAAATGACCAAAATGTACAAATGTATAATTTTGCACGCACTTAATTCTCTGGTTTTGTACACGTCTTTACATACATATTCGTTCATAGAAGTGTATATATATTTTATTTTATTTTCTTAAAAAATATTCTTTAATTTCTCCTATATCCTTTTCAGTTTAATTTTTAAAATTAAATCTTTTAGATTTATATCAGTTTTATATGGTTACTTGTTTTATTCTAATTAGTTTTCTAAATTATATAGTTAAAGTATAGAAGATAAATAAACCTACAGTATTACATAAACAAAGTAGGAAAGAAAATGAAAAAGAAAAGGGAAAGAGCTACGTCTCATAAGGAAAAAAGAAAGGAAACAAAAAATCCAATAGAATATAGAATTGCATCGCAGAGAATAAATTAATGAATCTTCTAATGTCTCAAAACTACAATTAATAATAAAAATGGAACCCTCTACTGGTAGTACTAATAGCTAGGGCGGACCCTGAATATATTCAAGAGTTCATTAAGATATGGTAAACATTAGATGATGGTAGTCTATAATATATATATATATATATATATTATTTTTAACCCGTTATTAGACTATAAATTTTCCTTTAAATTCTTCAGTTTTAAAATTTTATGATTTACTCAAAAGATAAGTTAATACAATAACATTCTAACAATTTTGAAGCACCATAAATATAAATAAAATAAGAATTAAAATTAACAGAGAATTTACTTGAACAATAAATAAATAAACACACAACTTAATAAAATAGTAAATAAATTTTAAAAGAGCTAATTGCAAAAAAGAAGAAGTGAAAAAATACAATTTTATAACGTATGTAAGTACTCAAGTAATATAATCGACACTAAATAAATTTCACACAAACATAACTTTTAAAAGCTAAGTGTTATTTACAAACAATAAATAATATAATCTAAACAGATAACAATTAAAACTAACTTCTATATGACAATGGCAAATAATAAAATTCAAAACGAAAAATAATCTAACATTTTTAACATATTAGTAGATTAAACTAATTTAACAATAGTCACAATAGTCAGATGTCAAACAAGTAGGCCGGTCCCGGGCCTAAACGGGCTAAGTGGGCCGGTCCAAACGGTCCCGGGTCGGTCCCAAATTAAACGGGCCCGGGCCTAAAAGGGTTTTTTGTAGAGACCGGCCCGGGACGGGAACCGTTTGGTCCCGGGCTAAACGGACTAAGTGGGCCCAACATATATTTAAAAAAAAAAATTAAATAGATATTAANAAATGGCTATTTTATAAATAGCCAACGGCTATTTTTGACAGCCCAACGGCTATATTTTATTTTTATTTTTTTTTAAAAAAAAAATTAAAAAAAATAGCCGTTGGGACCGTTTGGCCCGCTAAGGGACCGGGCCGATCCCGGACCCTTGCGGGCTAAATGGTCCCGGGCCTGACGGACCCAAATCATAGGACCGGCCCACGAGACCGTTTGGCCCGTGGTCCCAGGTCTGGACCGGCCCACTTGCCACGTCAAAGTGAGTAGCCGGTTACAGTTGTACTGTGCAAACATGTGCATTCCTCGTGATTTCAGAAATTTAAAATATAGGGAAGAGTCTGAACATAGCATATAATCGAATCCACGTTCTATATCTTAAAATGACCTCACTTGACCATCGAGCTAACATTCCTCGTCGGTCCAAGTAGATTCATTTTATTTACATATTTGTTTATGAGTATAATTTATACGTATAAATAATAATAAAAATTGGCAAAGCAAGTTCAATTGAACCAACTTGATACAACGTGGGTCTGCCCCGGCTATTAGCACAACTATGAAAAATAAAGCAGCTTGTTTGATTAAATGACACCAAACACAAAAAGAAAAAGAGTTTTATGTAAAATATAAGGAATTGTCAGACTCTCTTTCCTTTTTCTTGAATAAACAATCTGAATAATTGTTAGTATAAAAAACTCTATTTGATAATTTGTCCATTTTGATCATAATCACAAAGAATAATTACACATACTGATTCTTCTATTTTTTATTTATGAATGTCGAATGAAATATGGGACGCCTATTTCAAAGATACACTTGTAGATTCTTTTTTTTCTGATTCACTGCACAAACAAATATAAAGAAATAGGAAATTTTACCAATTTTTTGTCAAATTATATATCCCAATCTTATTTTAAACGTCTGTTTCACACATATACTACAAATGTATAAATGAATCTACTAATTAAAGAGATTCTTTTGGTTTACTTCCTTTTTCTTTTCTCTATTTTCTTTATTCTCTCTCCTCCATTTATTCAACAAAATTGATTAACTTGGAATATACAAAGACGTGAAATTAAAGGAGAAAAAACTAAAACATGTAGATATTTGAACTTTCTTACATAAAACAAATGACGGGAAAACCCAAAATTAGAGGGAAAAGATAAATTCATGGGCATGCATGTAATGGAAATGGGATAATCATTCATTGTTTAGAAAGTTGTTGTTAATGTCGTAAAACATAAGGGGGTTTTGTGTTAAAAGTTATCAACAAACAATATTTAATGATTGTCTAATAAAAGCATGGTTGACTTACAAAAATTACATAAAAAATAGGAGAGACATAAAGAAAAAAAAAGTTACTAACCGTTCATCTAATTCTTCTAGCCTGAAAATGGATGGACGTTCTTTGCCAGGCTAACAATTATTTCGTCCATGAAAGCGAACGTGCTCCCAAGAAACGACCACACGTGACTTGGCGGAGACGCCTTATACAAGTATGTGCCACCGTCCTCATGGTATTAAACGGCGTTATATTAGAACCAAGCATATTACATACGATTTCTTGTGGTGGCACTGGTTCTGAATTTACATACTCCTCCTGGAAAATTTCATATTTCATTGCCACAAAATCACAAATCCTGTTAATACTATGAACGTCGGTATCTCACGAGAGAATTATTGGAATAGTTATGATGGGATAATGGAGTTTAAGGCACGCAACTGTTTGATTCCTTTTTATTAGTCTGAACAGGTGCAATCATGTAGAGAGGTGACTTTTGGGCTTTCTAAAATATCACATAAATTAAAAAAGGTGATTAAAGTAAAAGAAATTGAGGTAAAAGATAAATAGAAATTCTAGTTGGAGAGAGTGCCACATCACCTCTCTTATGTCCTTCAATTATATATATATATAGATTTTGAATTGGGTTGGCCATGAATATTCGAGTAAAACTTATTACCTAATTGACATTAGTGAAATTTTCATACAATACGTCTCAGTTCAATTCTCATTGTTCTTTAGCATCAAAAACGAATCTACTTATATACGTGGTTTCACGTGAATCCATCCTATTACTTCTCTAAATCTAGTATATTAGTGAACTTAATTCTAATAAATAATAATAAAAATGTTCTTGTGAACCCAATAACCACCAAGTAATGTGGTGCACTTGTAAATAATTTTTTTATAGTCACGGATTTTGGGTTGTGATAAGTAAATTTTTATATTATTAGTATAGTCACCGATGGTGGAATGGAGAGGTGCAAGAAAAAGTGAAGACCAAGAAAGCAGCGTATCTGAAGCTAGTGGATTGTGTAGACGAGGAGGAGAGAAGAGTGAATAAGGAGCAATATAAGTTAGCTAAGAAGGAGGCGAAATTAGTAGTTACAGCGATCAAGACGGCAGCTTTTGGTCGTTTGTATGAAGAACTCGAGGGCCGAGGCGCAAATAAGAGGTTGTTCAGGTTAGCCAAGGTGAGAGAAAGGAAGACCCGTGACTTGGACCAAGTGAAGTGTATCAAGGACGAAGAAGGTAGAATTTTGTTGGATGGGGGGCTTATCCGTAGGAGATGGCAGACCTACTTCTATAGTCTCTTGAACGAGCAGGGGGGACATGAACATTGTACTAGGTAATTTGGAACTCTCCAGGAGTCATTGCGACTTTGGGTATTGTAGGCAGATTAGAATTGAGGAGGTTGAGGGGGCTATGCATAAAATAAGCAGGGGCAAAGCGACCGGGCCGGATGAAATCCCGATGGAGTTTTTGAAGAGTGCGGGCAACGCGGGCTTGGAGTAGCTCACTAGTTTTTTTTATGTCATTTTTAGAATAAAGAAGATGCCCGAAGAGTGGAGGTGGAGCACGATGGTTCCTTTATACAAGAGCAATGGTGATATCCAGAATTGCAATAACTATCGGGGTATCAAGTTGCTTAACCATGAAAATCTGGGAGAAAGTGATGGAGCTAAGGGTGAGGAGGAGTATGTCTATTTCCGAGAACCAATTCGGGTTTATGCCAGGGCGTTCGACTACGAAGGTCATTCACCTTGTTAGGAGTTTGATGGAGCAGTATAAGGAGAGGAAAAGAGACTTGCATATAGTGTTCATCGACTTAAAAAAGACATACTATAAAGTCCCGATGGTATTTTTGTGGAGGTGTTTGAAGTCTAAAGGTGTACATGTTGCCTATATTAGGGTAATTAAGGACATGTATGATGAAGCAAAGACCCGAGTGAGGATGGTGGGAGGGGATTCAGACCATTTTCCGGTCATGATGGGGTTGCACCATGGGTCGACACTCAACCCTTTTTTGTTTGCCCTGATGATGGACGTTCTGACGTGCCACATCCAAGGGGAGGTGCCGTAGTGCATGTTATTTGCAAATGATATTGTATTGATTGACGAGACACAAGGCGGTGTGAACGCGAGGTTAGAGGTGTGGAGATAGACCCTAGAGTCTAAAGGTTTCAAGCTGAGTAGGACCAAGACAGAATACTTGGAGTGTAAGTTCAGTGTTGAGACATAGGGAGGGGAAGGGGAGGTGAGGCTGGACTCGCAAGTCATCCCTAGGAGAGGAAATTTTAAGTACCTTGGGTCTATTATTCAGGGGGATGGGGATATTGATGAAGATGTCACACATCGTATTGGAGCGGGATTGATGAAATGGAGACTCGCTTCTGGTATTTCGTGTGACAAGAAGGTGCCACCAAAACTTAAAGGTAAGTTATACATAGTGGTGGTCAGACCGACTATATTGTATGTGGCTGAGTGTTTGCATGTCAAGATAGTCCATGTACAGAAGATGAAGGTAGCAGAGATAAGGATGTTGAGATGGATGTGCGGGCACACTAAGTTAGATAGGATTAAGAATGAGGTTATGTCACGACCCAAATCGATGGGCTGTGACGAGTGCCCGAGTTTTACCTATCCTAAGCATTCGTCTAAGATATAAACATTAAATAAGTGTAGGTCATGCATAAAGTCTGAAAATAAACTACTAATTCATATGAACAACCTGCGTGAGAAAACATGCCCAAAAACATATATATACATATACATATATA